ATATTTCTGTCTTTGAGAAAATAAATATTTGAACTTTTGAAACGTTAACTGAGAATAACAATATTGTAAATGTTACAGGGCAAGTCTGATAGTATGGTATTATATACTATCACCATCGGCGGATGCAGGGTGTGTGTGTGTGTGTGTGTGTTGAACCCCCTGATCCCCCTCCTTTCAAAATTCCGGGATCCGCCCATGATCATCACAGTACATATACCAGAGATGACAGAATACTTGGGTTAGAAAGTCAATCAATATCCAAATACTTAAACCACCGTTTTTCTGTAAAGAATTGATCATGGGAAATAACAAACCGTTTTTATGAATGATTCATATGCTCAGAGAAAAACTGTAAAGTAATTGATCATGGGTATATGTACAGTACTTTTCTCCATCGTCCCTGGAGCCTCCATACATATTGACTCCAAAAACATGTTGGAGCCTCAATACATATCCCCTCTGCCCCTCAGTACATGTTGGCCCCCAAAAACATGTTGGCGCCTCAATACACATTGGCTTCTCAAAACATGTTGGAGCCTCAATACACATTGGCTTCTCAAAACATGGTGGAGCCTCAATACACGTTGGCTACATGTTGCCCTCTCAAAACATGTTGGCGCCTCAATACACGTTGGTCTCTCAAAACATGTTGGCGCCTCAATACACGTTGGTCTCTCAAAACATGTTGGCGCCTCAATACATGTTGCCCTCTCAAAACATGTTGGCGCCTCAATACACGTTCGTCTCTCAAAACATGTTGACGCCTCAATACACATTGGCTTCTCAAAACATGTTGGAGCCTCAAAACATGTTGGCTACATGTTGCCCTCTCAAAACATGTTGACGCCTGAATACACGTTGGTCTCGCAACACATGTCGGAGCCTCAATACACATTGGCTTCTCAAAACATGTTGGAGCCTCAATACATGTTGGTCTCTCAAAACATGGGTTAGAGTTCCTTACGTACCCCCCATCTAATGTTTTCAATAAATACAAAGATACACAAGTAATGAAAAGTACCTTATAAAATAGGCGGAACTCTTTCCAAAACATGTTTGCACCTCAAGACATGTTGGAGCCTCAATACACCTTGGAGCCTCAACACATGTTGTAGACTCAATACACGTTGGCTACATGTTGGCCTCTCAAAACATGTTGGAGCCTCAATACATGTTGGCTACATGTTGGCCTCTCAAACGTGTTGGCGTCTCAATATATGTTAACCTCTAAAAACATGTTGGCGTCTCAATACATGTTAGCCCATCAGTACATGCTGCCCTCTTCAATACATTCCCTACACCACACGAGCTGGTAGTGTGAGATTGCTGCTGAAAAGTAGATGTTGATATGTAATAAATACACGAAGATGTCCTGCTGTGTTAGATTATACCCAAAGCCAACTTTACATCGACACTTCATATGCAAGCCACTGTTATTAACTAATTGTATATATACTCATGGAAACAAATAAGGCAACACCTGAAAGTACATATGTTCCTTTATTCTTTTCCAGGTTTCTTCACAAGGTATGTATTGCACTGTGGGTGAAATTCTGGAAATAAATAAAGGAACACTTATACTTTCATGTGTTCCCTTATTAGTTTCCATGAGTATAATTTCTTTTGCTCTTCTCATGTTATTTTTATTTCCCTACAAAATACAGAGACGTTATATATGTATACAAGCATAATAGAAGCGTAATAGTGCACTAGTTTATTTTACAAGTCTTGGTCTTACATTGTACATTTCTTCAAATCATAAACGCTCTGATATAATCAATGTCACTAACAAATTTCACATTCATAATTTGATGTTGTAAAGCGTGTTTATGCCATAGACATCAGGCTCCACATAATGTGTACAGTATGGCTGGACTGACAGTGTCACCAACAAATTTCACGTTCATAATTTGTTCTTTTAAAGCGTGTCTATGACCCCCAGGATACACATTATGTGTACAGTATGGCTGGACTCCGTGTCCTCTACGTTAACAATGTGTACAGTATGGCTGGACAAAGTGTCCTCTACGTTAACAATGTGTACAGTATGGCTGGACTCAGTGTCCTCTACGTTAACAATGTGTACAGTATGGCTGGACTCAGTGTCCTCTACGTTAACAATGTGTACAGTATGGCTGGACTCAGTGTCCTCTACGTTAATAATGTGTACAGTATGGCTGGACATCCCTGTGTCCTCTACGTTAATAATGTGTAGAAAGCTATTATAATATAAACATTTCAAGTCCTGACAGCAACACGATGAGGAGATTAGTAGTAATCAGGGAGGAGCATCTTGCTTTGACAGGGTATAGACTAGTGCCTATCTGTCTGTCTGAAGTACCGTTATCATAAAATAACCAGAACTTTCTTCTCTGCCATGTTTATGACGCTGTCCACAACGCTTTGTGTTGACCATGGGCGCCGGTGTCATAAGATGGCATCTTGACAGTGTCTTATAACTAGAGCTTTCTTCTGCCCCGTCATGTTGATATCGTTGGTACATATCTCTATGTGTTCCTACTCACCACCATGGCCGCCGGTGTCATAACATGGCATCATGACATTGTCTTATAACTAAAACTTTCTCCTTCCCCGTCATGTTGATATCGTTGGTACATATGTCCGTGTGTTTCTACTCACGACATGGCCGCCGGTGTCATAACATGGCATCATGACATTGTCTTATAACTAGAGCTTTCTCCTTCCCCGTCATGTTGATATCGTTGGTACATATGTCCGTGTGTTCCTACTCACGACATGGCCGCCGGTGTCATAACATGGTATCATGACAGTGTCTTATAACTAGAGCTTTCTTCTCCCCCGTCATGTTGATATCGCTGGTACATATCTCCGTGTCTTCCTACTCACCACCATGGCCGCGGTGTCATAACATGGCATCATGACAGTGTCTTATAACTAGAGCTTTCTTCTCCCCGTCATGTTGATATCGTTGGTACATATCTCTGTGTGTTCCTACTCACGACATGGCCGCCGGTGTCATAACATGGCATCATGACAGTGTCTTATAACTAGAGCTTTCTTCTCCCCGTCATGTTGATATCGTTGGTACATATCTCCGTGTGTTCCTACTCACCACCATGGCCGCCGGTGTCATAACATGGCATCATGACAGTGTCTTATAACTAGAGCTTTCTTCTCCCCGTCATGTTGATATCGTTGGTACATATCTCCGTGTGTTCCTACTCACCACCATGGCCGCCGGTGTCATAACATGGCATCATGACAGTGTCTTATAACTAGAGCTTTCTTCTCCCCCGTCATGTTGATATCGTTGGTACATATCTCCGTGTGTTCCTACTCACCACCATGGCCGCCGGTGTCATAACATGGCATCATGACAGTGTCTTATAACTAGAGCTTTCTTCTCGCCCGTCATGTTGATACATACGTATCTGGGTGTGATCATACTCACCACCATGCCCGCCTTTAGCATGCCACATCACGACAGCGCCTTGACAATCATGGCTTTCTTTTCCTCCGTCATGTTGATGTCGCTGCCCACCACAAGTCTCATGCTGACAGTGACGACAGGTGCGCTATACACCCCGAACATCGGCCACAGTGGTTGACTGGAGTCTACATTGTCTAATGTCGACATCACCTTGTTCTCCTTCACATCAATGAAGACAATCTTCTTCCTGGCGTCATCATAGACAACACCGTAGTGTAGTGTGTGTGATGCCCCTGCTGTGTTGGGGATGGTGTCAGGTAGATGTAACACTTCCTTTCCCTCCTTCCTGATTTTCCTGCATATCCCTTCATGAGTAGTACACTGGCCGACGGTCAAACTGTAGGCATGGGGTACTACGGGCTACAAAGTGAGTCATGTCCATCTCTCCCTCAGCACAGACACCAACCTCCAGGATGAGCCAGTTCCCCGTGAGTGTTTTGTCCAGTCCGACCCTGGTCTCCGTCTCCCAGTACTGGGGACAATCAGCCAAGGGGAGGGGGATAGTGCTGCATGTGCCCCAGTAGTTCGTCAGTCTCCCTTTCCCTGCAGACCTGGTGTCAGACTTGCTGTTGATCAAGTCCCCCTCTGTGTTGATGTGGATGCGGTCAAGGTTAATTTTATCTGCGTCATACTTCAGATGTATACCTACAACACATAAACGTGGATGAGATGCTCATGTTGTCAATCACTGGGTTGTCTGAATAATTTCAAACCGCCGTCACAAATCTGGAATATTGCTGAATGCAACGTTAAACAACAAACAAACGAGTAAAAGATAATCTTAAGAACAAAATGATAAAAAATACAACAACGTGAAGGTCAGTTTTGATCACTGATTGTTATGTACAGGCCATAAAACTACCGTATCCCGTGATGGGATTCAAACCATGGACCTTTTGATTGGAAGTCGGATGGCTCGTCCCCATGGCCACAGGAAGCTGACAAAGCGAAAATGTCATATGTATATCATTTCACGCCCTGTCACATAAACATCGTATCTACTGAGTGTAACATTCTGAAAGAAGGTACAATAAGTGACCAGTCCAGCAAACACTAATCAGGTGTCACCGATTCAGAAGACAAATTCTCTCTAGGATGATGTTGCTGTATCCCAAATATAGTCAGCATTGACATCGGGATCAGAATTTGTGTTCAGCAAACTATGCTTGTCGTAAGAGAAAACTAACGGAATCGGGTGGTCAGGCTCGCTTGGTTGCCACATGTCATCGTATCACAATTGCGTAGATGGATGCTCATGCTGTCCATCACTGGATTGTCTGGTCCAGACTCGAGTATTTGCAGACCGCCGCCATATAGCTGGAATATTGCCGATTGCGCCGTTAACCAACCAACAAACAAACACTTTGTACGTCGATCATTAGCCAAACAGTTGTTCCAAAACATTCTACTACAGAATACACTGGGTGGCTAATGTAGCCAAGCCCCCCAAATCACCTCCATGATGTGACAATAGGTTCGGAGGCTGTAGTGTAAGCATAGATGGTAAATGGGTAGATTATGAACGTACACTTCAGCACCATCGACTTGTCCAAGGCGTCTGGTTTCAGCAGGTGAACATCGCATTCATTGAGCAGCCCTGCAACATCAACATTGCCATCACTTTGATAAAACAACGTTTTTATATCTTGTAGTGAATGTCAACAATAAAGGCAATACACAGGCCAAGATTTTAGTGTTTAAACCTGGACTCAGTTATCTGAACGAAGAAAGTAAAGGAACAAAGGTGACTGGATTTTACCAAGCATGAAATGGGTGGTTTCTGAGGCTCTCTTCACGATGTTTTCGTTCTCATCGATGCTCTGAAAAGATAACCCTTAATCAGACATTATTGTCTGTAAGTATGTATGTCGGGACATATGGGGAGGTAGGTGATAGGTATGTACAAATATCTAAATATTTTAAACTTAACTCGGAAAAGAACATACAATGTACCGAATATGCCGTATATTTTATCTACTGGCACAGCGATGTTTCTGGATTGCTTTACAATGGTCTGACAACCTTATAACGGCCTACGATGTGTAGTCACTATAAAAGTGTTATCTATAAATTGTGCCCTCTTCGTTGTCAACGAATACCTCCAAAATAACTGAATGAGTAAGTCAGTGAGTTTAGCTTTACACATTTTTTAGCAATATTCCAGCAATATCACGACGGGGACACCAGAAATGGGCTTCACACATTGTGCCCATGTGGGGAATCGAACCCGGGTCTCCTGCGTGACCCAAAATAACTGAAGTTACCTTGTACCTCTTTTTAATAAAGTGAATGTTTAAAAAGCATATCAGTCTCAGATTGTTAATTCTGATATAGCTTGCATGTATTTCGATTTTGGTTTTGTCTCAGTCAGTGATCCTCTTCTGTTTTCCAATGTGCTGAATGAATGAATGAATGAATGAATGAATGAAGGAATAATTTTCACTTAACCCCGCATCAGCAATATTACAGCTATTCGCGGCGAGCGATGTGCTGTAGACATTAGATAGGTAATTATGGACATGTACTTCTGAAAACGGATTCAAAATGTTTTAGATCGTTGTCTTACATTTTAATTGGTTCTAGTACATGTAATACTTTGTAGTCATACATACTATCTCATACGCTCTTCTTTAGCGGTTATGGTGCATTATATTATTTTAATTACCAAACTCACGTTCTTATATTTGATTTCCATCTCAGCTATGAAGTCATGTTCAGTTTGAGTTTCCTTGTCTGAAACAACACCATGATGTAAATACACCCTTAAGAATGAATGAATAATTGGTGCTTTACGCCCCATCAGCGATAATGGGACATCCATAAGAAATCTCGACTGTAAAATTCCAACATATTATGAGCAAGTGTTACTGTTTATAAAGTGCGTGTTTTTTAAGTATCTAATACAACTCGGCTGACTAGACAATGGCATTGTGTCAATAACTACCGGTGCTTTAAGTATAATATTAGTTGTTTTTCGAGCAAAAACTCGAGTTGCTGAGAATGATGTGTCACATGTTATATTTGGGATTACACTTTCTCCGTAAAGTACAAATTCTAGTACTTTTTGTTAGGCCGTGATTTGAACCCACACTCTCAGAGTCAGGCACCCGATCACATAAAGTCAGCGATCTAACCTACTCAGCCAACGCGGTTTCCATAGAAATGGAAGTCTGACAACTGGTAGACTACATCATGTACTTTGTGTATCCCTCTGACAAATGTGAATTGACACCGCCCACATGGCCGACAGCTATAAATAGACAATGTCAGTTTGAAGGACGCTTCTTAGTAAATTACGGATTCTAGACCCAAAACAGTCATAGAATCTGTAATTTACTGAGAACGTGTAGTCCCAAATACAACATAACACTATAGAACGCTGTTCCATTTCTACACGCAATAAAAAATCAACTCTGATCACTTTCTAAATGGCATTGTGTATCCATAAGAATAGTGCATCTGTAAGCACTATAGAACGCTGTTCCACTCCTACACGCAATAAAAAAGAACGTGCAATCATATCTCATATAAATACCTCTTGCATATTGTTTTTCCATGTCCTTGGTCACGACAGCCCCAAATCGTGATATGTTTGATTTCAGCTTTGACAAGCCGTTGGTGTTAAAGACAGCTGCTGCGGGTATGTCCTGTGTTTGAGTCTCAACAGTGTCAAGGAAAGCCCGAGTTGCCTCCCTTACAGAACTCTCCAACTCCAGGAGGTCTGATTGTGAGGCATACGTGAGAACCTTGGTGACGTAGTCTAAAACCTCAGAGCATTTCTTCGAAGCTTCTTCACATGTGTTTAGCTGAGTACGGAGACTTGTCTTGGTCGCCTTCGTCTGACCTTCAAGATCAGTCAGAAGTTCCTTCTCTCGTTGGTCAAGTTGTGATCGCAGAGTTCTAAAAGTATGGCCAATATTTTCTTTCAACGTGTTGTGCGTTGTATCTGTGATTTCGGTCCCTCGTCTGATATTCTGAATGTTGGACTGTTGGCGAGCTTGTAAGGTTGCCAGCTCAGTTTTGTGTTGGTCCAGCTGTTTGAGGATACTTTCAGCTACCACATCTAACTTCTCAACTTCATGATCTGCGTGATCTTCAAATCTGCATCTTCCACAAATCAAAATGTTGCATCTCCGATCAAAAAGATAAAGAGAGTCAGGGCTGTGGATACTGCAAGGGGTTGGAATGTTTGAGACAGCTGGTTTAAAGTCGCTGAGGTTTTGAAGTACATGTTTTCTGGTAAGTTTGAAGTTGCTGTGCATATTCTGGCAGTATTCACAGAGGAGCTCTTCACACTCCCGACACCAACACACAGCCTGGTTGCCGTCATCTTCGTGTGTACAGAGAAGCTCTGTGGGGCGATGTTTGACTGTCAGATGGAATATTTCTTCTGTCTCACTGCATCCTTCTGGAGGCTTGTGTCTGTGAGGTTGACCTCCGTCTGACAAGTAGAGCATGATATCACACCACCAGCTGCAGATGTCACACGTCTCTCACACACAGCGTGTAGACAGGGCAGTAGGTAGGGGGCGGGGCCTTTGAGGACAAACTGCTGATGACAGACAGAGCACTTTGGGAAGATGTCCATTCTGAAAGACAGTAGACTTTAATGAGTGATCTCTGTGATATTTCCCAGTAAGATTACAGAATACCGGATACCTTCCGCCATCTTTGAAAGCACGCGAGTTTACTTTTGGTTAGGGTGAGGGTAAGGTTTAGGGTAATGTTTAGCGTTAGGGTGACGTGACACTAAACAGTATGGCTGGTAGGTATCCGATATTCTGTAGGTGTACCTATTTCCCTTTATGGTGACATGGGTAGTTTGCAAACCAACATAAAGTTGTCACCCAAAGAATAGTTAACAAGCATCTCAATGTTTAATTTACACCGAACGTCAAATCGCTTATTGGGACCCAAGACATTTTTGTCCACAGTAGAAAGCTTTTAAAATCCTCCTTTCTGTCAGAAACTAGAAATATTCGGACCCTGCCAATATCTGTCGTGTTCATTTGCACAATTTCTTTTGTTTCACACAATCCTAAACACTGGTTTGTAATCTGTAGTTACACCAATCATTATTTCACGTACTCGTCTACAGATAGATTTCGCGGAGACGCAGCCGTAAAATATCCGTTTTTATCAAAGGAGGTTATGGTGACATGCAAGGCCTGATCGATAAATTTCTTTCACTTATATTTCACATCCATTGAGGAATGTACCTTAACTCCTACCTTACATTTTGTAAAAGCTTATACCTGATGTTTTGCCAGACAGTTTAACCATTTTATCTGTCCCAACATTGCATTGTACGTTTGTCCAACTATTTCAAATAAGATATGTCACTGTGTCCTCACCACAATGTGTTGTTGAGTTAGACTCTGTTTAGACTAACATCTAGTCTCTGGCATTAACACATTTTGCATGAAAATGGTTTTATATTTATGTTCATAAAATATAATAAAAATGTCCAGAGACGCATTGCACTTATAGATAGCAACAACTCGTAAAGATTCGGGTTAGAATTGATTTTCAGCAACCCACGTTTGCTGCACGAGGCGACTAACGGGATCGGCTGGTCAGGCTCGCTGACACATATCATCCGATCCAAATAGATAGTCATGATGTTGTACACTGGATTGTCTGGTCCAGACTCAGTTTATTAACAGACCCGCGCCATAAAGCTGGAATATCACTGAGGGCAACGTTACACAACAACCCCAGCCAAAACAACAACAATAACAACCAACCAACCAAACAAACAAACATAATCCCAAAACAACAAACAACAAAGCCCATACAAACAAACAACTCCCCATCCCCCACCGAAAAAACACAAAAAACACAACACAAAAAACAACAAACACACACACACACACACACACACACACACACACACACGCCAATGAACAACAGCAAAAAGTAATACATTGCAACACGCACGCGCATGCACGTGTGGCTATTATGACCGAACTTATGTCAGTTCATTTGTGTTGTTCAGTGAGAGGCCAGGCAGAAATTTAAAACAGAAATCTCACCCTGAGTATCATTTTACCAGCCCACCTCCATGTGACCTATGTCCCCGAAATACTGGGCGACGCGCGGCATATCAACGTTATCGCCTCAGCATAGTGAGAGATCCACACACATTCTTTTAACTGCAGCATATACCATTGCAGGGCAGTATTTTCACCGCGACCACAATAACTATTCTACAATAATCGATCTTTTCCGTGCTTTAGACATCTTTGCAGAGCAAGCTGGTACGATTTTTTACACAACGTACTTTTAAACTAACACTACACGGTAGAGGCTTGTCTGTGCACGATGTGACACAAAACACTGTGTCATGACGTGTAGGACTTTGCCATCATCGTAAGACGAAAGTAGAAATTTGTTGTTGTTACGTAACACAAATAACCACGATGTAAACTGTACAAATATTGTATTTGTACCACAAGCAGTAACAACGTGGCCTCGTGACATATACTAGCAAATGTTTGACCAGACAGATAACCGTGTACTGGCCTGCGAGATGAGAGACAGTTACAACACACCTACCTGGACAAATAACTTCCTTCTCCTGTGGTACAAAGGTCACTTCCGGCAGATGACACGTGACTCACATACTTGAAGTGTAATCTATCTAGTGCATGTTTACAGTGTAACTGCCTGACTACATATCAGCGCTGTTCATGTGTAGAGACACATGATAACAGGTGGGGGTATTGGGGCGTATATCTGGTGAATGAAACAGCGTGTCTAATGTGTGTGTATCGTTCATCGTTATGTGCAAACAAACAGGTATAAAAGGTACTCAATATGACCATTTCCCCAACCATCTTGTTCCCACACAAGGGGGCGGTGGGGTAGCCTAGGGGTTAAAGCGTTCGGTCCTTACTCTGAAGACCCGGGCACGATTCCTCATATAGGTACAATGTGTGAAGCCCATTCCTAGTGTCCCCCGCGTGATATTGCTGAAAAATTGCTAAAAGCTCACTCACTCAATAATCACTCGCTTAGATTCCCGGCATTAGGTTTACTACAGAAAGTCCTTAAACATCCAAATTCACCCGGGATTGGGTAGTGAGGTACCTAATGACCAACACACAAAGGCAGCCATCTAACCCGCTCACAAAAAGTCTGACAACTGGTAGTCTAGACCACGGACTTTGTGTAACCCTCTGACAAGTGTAAATTGGCATGGCTACTGCGGCCGAAAACTATGAATAGCCATTGCCATTTAGAAAGTTGGTCAAAAGTACTAGAATCTGTCCTTTACGGAAAACGTGTAATCCTATACATAACATGTGTAACATGAAAATGCATTGTGCACGTGAACACCTTTGCTCCGTACTTTAAACTGGTGTTGAGGAAAACTGACATGGCCATTAACAAGCACAATAAGGGCCCCCCTGTGAGGTGAGGTGAGGTGAAATTGGGTTTAACGTCGTACTTGAGAATATTTCGCTCATATGACGACGTGCATGCGTGTGTATGTGTATGTGCGGCTGCTTGTACTAGCCCAGACTGAAGCTGGTTTTATAGTGCTAGCCCACTGAGATACCATGTTGCAGTGAAGCATGAATACCCGATCCGTGAAGATCCGTGATCCCAGTAATGTGTATTTAAAGCAAATGTTAAAGGCCAAACTTTGCAAAAGAGATTGTACACGTGGATCTTCATCGCATTTAGTGCCTTAGTCTTCCAGCATGTTTACCCACGATAGCTTGAAGCGAGGAACGCGTAAATACCAACAGCAATCATAATGGATGTAGTCAGCTTTCCACAAAATGCAGATGCAATCGTACCTAACAGACACAGACAGACAGACAGACAGACAGAGGGGAGGCTCCGCAGCTGGATTAGGATCAAGTATTGGATGGACTTGGTCGATTGCGTGTGTATACGGCAGGGGTCTCTGGACCGGACACGATAAAGCACAAGTGGCCATGGAACAGCATAAATGAAATAAATAACAACAAAGATCAAATGTGCACAGCTGGTTCCACAAACACAGGCCTGAAATGATAGCTCTGGCAGACGGCTCAAATTTGAATGTCATAAAAGCTTAAGAGAGTTGAGAGTGTTGATATGGCCTGGTCCAACCAGACCGAGTTTTGGTTCATACCTCAAAGGAGATTTAGGCTAAAAGTAAGCATGGCTTCATACGGGCATGCTTCCGAGGTGAAGTATATTATTCGTCGTCACAAACCTGGTGCATTCCCAGAAGTGTGGCATAGAGAAGCTAGGTGTTGGTGCACAATGACTTGGCTTGTCATCACATTGCACAGCGTTACAATGTCCGTGTTACTGAACTACTTACATGTAGATGCCAGCATACATGGGAATGATGGCACCACTACTTAGACTGTCCTAAGTACCACACAAATACCCCGTCGAATCCCACCACATAACAAAGGCATCTCATACTATCACTGTGGCCCTGGTAAAACACATGTTAGGAATATAGTTGTATCCATGGGGACGCGCAAGCGGGTGTCCAGAACTAACTTATGTTTGGTCACTTTACCCCTTGTTGAGGTTGAGTTTGAGGTTGAGGGTGAGGTTTAGGGTTAAGGGTTAGGGTTAGGGTTAGGGTTAGGGTGAGGGTGAGGGTGAGGGTGAGGGTGA